AACTAGATCATCCAGTCAGATTGATTCAAAGTTTTCTATCTAAGGAAAACCAGCTGATTGCATCGACTCATTGACTCTTCATCTATAATCAAAGGTGTTGATGGCAGCAGCACAGCTGATATTTCTCTCCAGGATGGAGTCACAGCCAAACAGGAACAGACCAGATGAAGCTACAGCCGGTAAACAGCTGGCGAACAGCCGGTAAACAGCAGGTAAACAGCTGGTAATCAGCAGGTAAACAGCCAGTAAACAGCAGGTAATCGGCAGGTAAACAGCCGGCAAACAGCCAGTAAACAGCAGGTAAACAGCTGGGAAACAGTCGGTAAACAGCTGGTAATCAACAGGTAAACAGCCAGTAAACAGCTGGTTATCGGCAGGTAAACAGCTGGTAAGCAGCAGGTAAACAGCAAGTAAACAGCTGGTAATCAGCAGGTAAACAGCCAGTAAACAGCTGGTAATCGGCAGGTAAACAGCCAGTAAACAGCTGGTAATCGGCAGGTAAACAGCTGGTAAGCATCAGGTAAACAGCCGGTAAACTGTCAGTAAACAGCTGGTAATCAGCAGGTAAACAGCTGGTAAGCAGCCAGTAAACAGCTGGTAAGCAGCAGGTAAACAGCCGGTAAACAGTCAGTAAACAGCTGGTAATCAGCAGGTAAACAGCTGGTAATCAACCAGTAAACAGCTGGTAAGCAGCAGGTAAACAGCTGGTAATCAACCAGTAAACAGCTGGTAAGCAGCAGGTAATCAGCCAGTAAACAGCTGGTAATCGGCAGGTAAAGAGCTGGTAATCAGACAGTAAACAGCTGGTAAGCAGCAGGTAAATCGCCAGTAAACAGTCGGCAAACAGCTGGTAATCAGCGGGTAAACAGCTGGTAAGCAGCAGTCAGGTAAATGCAGTCCAGGCACATATAATCAGTCAGTAAGGCTCATATGGCTCTCTGTTAGCTCAGTTAGCTTCCAGTGCTAACTGTCCATTAGCTTTGCTGCTAGATGCTAACGCTTTAGCGGCATTAAAAGATGAACTCACCGCTAATATGCTGCAGATTTCAGGCTGTAGTTTCAAACATGTAGAGATAATGAAAACTACAGAGGCCATCCACCTCCCGTTTCCTTACAAACTCCGCCCATTTCCTGGTTCTTGGCCAATCACTGACTAGTAAAGTTCGTACCCTCTCGATCACTTCCTTTTCTCAACAGGAACCCTTCAAAATAAAACCAAATATGTACTAAAGCCTGTTTTTGTAATAAAACGTATTCTAAACCACTCGTGATGGTAGTGATAAAAATCAGGTGCATTACCTGCATGACCTTTTCCTCACTTTGTTAACAGGTTATTTAAAGAGTTTATCCTGAGTGAGAGATAGAGCATCAGGGTGCTTACACACAGAGCCTATCTATAATAAGCAGCTCCATCAAGAAAGCAAAGTGAAACCATTATTAACATCTGTTGACAGTTATTGTATAAAAATAACTAAGAAGAAAACATCATGGGGGTGGAGCTTAAGAATGTTTTATGGAGGCTTCAGCCCCTCCCATTACAGGCCTAGCCATTCAATAATATGTCCCAGAAGCGCTTGGACTTGGACTTCCTGCAGAGGATGAGGAGAGCCCACCTGCCCCCCGCCCCCCTCATGTTTTTCTCCAAAACTCAATCACTGTTCCACTTTATGAATGGAAACGACATGAAAGCTGTAGAAACTAAATTTCATTTTGTATACAATTTGTGTACACAATGACAATAATAATTGATGACATCACAAGTAGTGTTGGCAACAGCAGAGGGTGAAACATTTACCAACAGAACTCTGGTAAACTCTCTGGGCAAATAAAATGGATGAAAAGCAGCAGTTCAGTGCCTGAGCTGTAGTGAGGAATATTCCCAGAAATGTGTCCGGGATCTTCACAAGCAGTTCTGCTTTCAACCAACTCTGCATTTAAAATCAATATACTTCTAGTCATGAAGAAAAGCCGAAAAGATCAACCCTTTCGACATCTCATGTCAAAAAATGTATTACACATTTATTCTGAAAATGTAAACTGAACATAGAAGAATGTCTCCTCTCTGTCTGGAATCCAGGAAGTCAAGTTGGAACTAAGATGAGATTAAATCCACAGAAATTGTTCTGGATTTCATAAATCTTGTTCAATGAACCATTTCTAGACAAGATAACAATGCAAGAATTATCAAAATAATGAAAGGTATTAAAAAAAGGAATTTGATCAATTCCAAAATAGATTCCATCTAAATGAAATAAATAATTGTAAATAAGGATTTTTCACATTACAGAGTTTGATGTTTACGGCTGAAAACATCCAATGAACACGGTTGCCTTAAATGACAAATGAGGCCTTCTAACTTGAGTATTTATGCCTGAGTCATCTCCCCCCCCGTGTGGATATTCATGTGTCTGTTTAAATGTCCTTTTCTGCTAAATCTCTGCCCACAAAAATCACAGCAGAAAAGTTTCTCTCCTGTGTGGCTCATCGTGTGTCGGTTTAAATCTCCTTTCTGGCTAAATCTCTGCCCACATAGGTCACAACAGAAAGGTTTGTTTCCTGTGTGGATCCTCTTATGTCTGTTTAAATTTCCTTTCATGCTAAATCTCTGCCCACATAGGTCACAACAGAAGGGTTTGTCTCCGGTGTGGAACCTCTTGTGTGTGTTTAAACTTCCTTTAAGGCTAAATCTCTGTCCACAAAGGTCACATCCGAAGGGCCTCTGTCCTGTGTGGATCGTCATGTGTGAGTTTAAATGGCCTTTCTGGCTAAATCTGTGTCCACAAATGTCACAACAGAAGGGATTCTGTCCCGTATGAATCCTCATGTGAGTGGTTAAATTTCCTTTCCTGCTAAACGTGTGTCCACAGAGGTGACAACAGTACGGTTTCTGTCCCGTGTGGATCCTCATGTGTGTATTTAGATCTCCTTTTCGACAAAATCTGTGTCCACAAACGTCACAGCAAAAAGGTTTCTGCCCGGTGTGGGTCCTGATGTGTGTGATTAAACTTGATTTGTCGCTGAATCTCTGTCCACAAACATCACAGCAGAAAGGTCTCTGCCCTGTGTGGATCATTACATGTTTATTTAAGTTTAGTAGCCGGCTAAATCTCCGTCCACATCTGTCACAACAGAAAGGTTTCTGCCCTGCGTGAATACTCATATGTTTGTTTAAACGCTCTACCCGGCTAAATTTCATCCCACACTTGTCACAGCAGAAAGGTTTCTCTGCTGTGTGGATTCTAATGTGTGCGTTTAAATTTGACTTATGGCTGAATCTGCGTCCACACTCTTTACAAGCAAAAGGTTTGTCTCCTGTGTGGATCCTAAAGTGTGTGTTTAAATGTCCTCTATGGATAAATGTCTGTCCACAAACGTCACAACCAAAAGGTTTCTCTCCTGCATGAATTCTCTGATGTAAATTTAACTTGTTTTTTCCAGTAAATATTTTACCACAGTCTTCACAGCTAAATGTTGTCCTTTTGTGGACATTCCTCTGTGAGTCTACATGTTTCTTCTTTGTAAAACATTTCTTATTACCCAGGGAGCTTGAATGCCTCGTGTCTTTCTGAGGACGCTGAACAAATTGCTCAGAGGAACCAGAAGGTTTGTCAGCCATGTTTCCATCAGGAGCTGCTAACTGTTTTAGCTCAGAGACGGAGAGCTCCACATCACTGTCCTCTTCTGTCTCTGAGGAAATGGACCCATCTTCATGATCTTGTATCCTCATGGATTCTTCTCCTCCATGGTTCTCTACTGGAAGCTCTCTGCCTTTAATGTGGTGGTGGTAAAGCTGTGGGAGCACAGAGGAATGTTTATCATCCTCACTCTTTATTGGAGCAGCAGTGATTGGAAACTTGATGGCATCAATCTCCTCCTTGACACCGAGCTGCTCTCCCCCCAGACTGGTGCAGACTTCCTCCTGTTCCTCCTTTATGTGGTGGGGCTCTGGGTCATGCAGGTCAGGAGAAGGTTTGTGGTCTTCAGGAACTTCTTCTTTAACCGTCTGCTTAAGATCTGCAGGAAACATTAAAAACATCAATATAAATCATTTAAGTGGTTTAC